ATAATGCATTTATTCATTCCTTTAAAATATTAATTTGTTTTACAAGCATTTATTATACCAAAACTATATGCACAGCACAATGCCAGGCACCCCATGTGAAATAAACTGTTTAAAGAAGGCAATTTAAGTATAAGTCTATGTTATTCCAAATCTTTAAAAATTCCATTGATCAAGTGATTTCAAATATTTTAATAGTCTCAACCATTTAAACAAGGTCTGGATTATTGTCTTGTCCCACTTCCAGTCCAGGGTATTGGCATCACGTAATGCTGATTATAGGTAACATTTCTAGAATACTCAATCTGTGCAAGCAATGAGTAGTACTCTACCTGCATTATACAATTTAGTACTTGAGGCAAATCTAAAGGAGAGATATCTCATGTTACTTATTGGCAACAATGTCTCTGAGGCCACATTCTTAGCCACTATTTTGTATTCCTTCATCTTTGTTGTCTGAATGCCTAGACACCCCATTTTATATAAAGATTGGTAGCTCCACAGTATAATGTGTCAGTGGTAATTGCTCTCCTGAATAGAGCCCAGGTCCCAACTTGCATGTGTAGAGCCCCGAAACATACAGGAACTGGAGTCCTGTAGGCACAGGCAACTTTCCATGTTGTCTTTCCTATATACCGCATTTTGGCAGCATAAAAAAAATAAATCCATTATACGTGGAAAATATTGTAATATCTCTGAAAAGCTGGGAAATATTTCAAAACTTGTCAAGCCAAAGCCTGCAGTAAACTTTTCTTTGACATCACACAACTACAGATGTCCCAACACGTCTGCCTCTGATGTGCTCAGCAAGAATGAGGCAGATTATGGCCCACCTCATGCTGGGGAGGCATGCTGGGTTCCCACGACACTGGTCTTCCTTGTCACATACTCCTCAAGGGCAAAGGTAGCCATCATTTAAAACATAGTAAGAGCATCCTAGTTCTACTGAGAGAACCAGTAGAGGAGGGAAATTCTCCTTAGCTTAATATGATAAAAATCAGATGTGAGGTTTTCCTCTTTACATAAACAGAACTTTCATTGAAGTCCATGACTGAGAGAGATTAGAACAGATAACAGTTACATGGAAGATTGGCTTTTCTGGAAATAAGATATGCCAGGAGGGATGTTACCATCAGGTACCTCATTCTAAGTCTGCTCCAGAGGTTCCTTGTGCTAACTGGAGGACCAGGTCTGTAGTTGCCCCAAGCCCAAGCATGAAATAGTCTCAGAACTCACCTAATTCATGTTTAGTCTAACAATCTGCTGAAATCTGCTAATATCAAACCCAAAAGTAGCCCTTGGTTCTTTATTCACATAGTCATCTAGAAATGTGGACAAGGTGGTTTGGTGTACCCACCATTATGATCAAGTCTTCCTCTTCTTCTACTTAGAACTCTGTATTTCTTACAGCCTAGAACAATGCATCCAGGTGAGTCTGGATTTAGAAGGGGAATAGTACTGTGACTGTCCTGTTCAGTTTCATAAGTAGTATTTCAACATGGCCTGAATCTCCTCCTCTGTTGGAGGAAGGTCCAGTGAGCCAGAGATCAGAGATATTTGGCTCTTGCCCCATGCTGCTACCAAAAAGCCATGTGTGACCTTACTTACACTTTTCATTTCTTCAGCTAATGAATCAGAGTTTGGAAGTTTCTTTCTAAATCTAGAAGTCTCTCTCTGTTATTTTCTTTGAAGATGACATTTCTTTTTATCCATGGACACCTCCAGGCCTTTAGCTATTAGTTCATATCCCTTCTATTTGAACAATCCAAATGTTGTAATATGGAGACTTTATTCTTCAACTAGGACACACCATATGTATGAAGTTACTGAATCTTTGAGAACAAAGGAAGGTCTGGGAGATATCAATAATTTGAGGAGGCCTTAGCTTAGGAAAACAGAAGGGCAACCAATTTCCTTGTGCTTTCTGGTGGTGTGTAGAAATGAAGTTCTGAAGCCCCAAGTGGAGCGCAGCAAGCCCAGAATACGCTTCTCCACATCCTTCCTGACATTAAAATTTTATATTATTGTTATTTCACATAATTATTGCTTCATTGGCTCAATGGTACTTCTGCTTTTTTTTTTAACAGAAATAAAGTTTATATTATACAGGTTGATTGTTAATCAGTGGCGCAAAGTAAAAATACACAAAAACAAATGGTGATAAAGCATCCTTAACAACAACTTTGCTATTAAAATATAAAGTAGCATACATGCCAATATTTAATGGTATGAAACAAATTTTTAGTTATCTTAAGTGGTTAAAAAAATAAAGCTTGTTTAATTAGAAAAGGAAGAGCTACGTGAAAGCGTTGGGAATACTTCTGAGCAAAAGAAACAAAAACACTCTTTTAAAAGATTTTTAGATGTTGCCACAAGGTGGTGTGAAGAGTCCAACCTAGCTTGGTTGTCTTGTAGTAAGGAGAGGCTAAGGGAGGTCAGAAGGGGAGGGTCCCCTCAAGGAGGTAAAGCAGGGAAGAGGAGCAGTGGGGTGGAAGTGGAGTGGAGGGTGTTTGTACAAGGAGATACTTGGGATACACCCACAGTACTTAATTCCAACACTACTTCCTCCCTGTCCTCGAGATAGCGATGCTTTTCCTCACACCTCCTCCTGCTTAACTGAGGTTAGTTCCTCTTTTTCCTTTTGAACTACCCTCAAAGGTGAATTTTGTCTTTGGAAGTAATGACACAATACATATTCCCTACAGTGTGCAACTTTCCTTCTTTAGCCATAACACATATTTGAGTCCATGAATATTTTCATAGAACACAAACTGCTCAAGTGTTGTAATCTATAACCGATAATCCAAACAGACTGGTTATCACTAGTAAGTGTTTTATATTAAATCTGCACTCCTCCTTTCTGACCTTGAGAGAATTGGAAGAGTATGAAACAGAGTGGTTATATCAAAGAGATATTCCACAGGCTTCAGCTTGATGTAGTTGGAAGAGTGCTCTTCTAAGTGTGTCAACATTTTCCATCTGGGCTGTCAATACGCGTTGCCAGTGCTGAACAACACTGAAGGAAGTCAACCTGGAAAATCCCCTGCGGGGTATTGATTTTCCTCTTCCCAGAGAAAGGTCTGGGCAGGAGAGGAAAGTCTTGCTGTTATTACTGAGAGTCACATTCTTTGGGGTGGTTGGTTTTTCTACCCATTTGCAGAGCTGAAAAAGCACTTTGAAAACTTTGTTTATCTGGTAAACATTACTCACTCCCGGGGCAAGTTTTCCTCTGTAAGACTAAGATTAATCAGGGATGTTCCTCAAGAAGGTGTGTGTGTATATATATATATATATATATATATATATTTGTAGTTTTTATTGGAAGAGAGCGGAATAATAGCCGGTCTCTTACTGCTGTACACTACTTGAGGAGGACTTAGCTTAGGAAAACAGAAGGGCAACCAATTTCCTTCTTGAGGAACATATACATATAAATATATATGTTTTTTTTTCTTTTGAGGGAGAAAGCTGCCTAATACATAAATATATGTCTGCTCTCAATTCAAATAAATTTCATTTATTTATTTATTTATTCATTATTTATTGATTTAGAGGGAGACTGAGTGACAGGCAGACTTTTAGAGGGACAGGCAGACTCCACACTGAGCACGGAGCCCAACATGGGGCTCGATCCCACAACCCCGAGATCATGACCTGAGCCAAAACCAAGAGTCGGCCGCTCAACCAACTGAGCCACCCAGGCGCCCCTCAAAATTAGTTTTTGATTGAGTGCTGGTGCTTTAGCTCACGGTGATCAATACTATAGCTCTTGCCCTCCACAGAGATTTTTTTCCCCCATAACTGCAGTTGGAAGTACAGTAAGATAAGCACCAAAAGAAAAAAGTAGGTCAAAGTTCCCCTGATCTTTTAAAGTGAGGGTCAATTGCATTTGGAAAAGATCTTTGCAGGTAGTGGAATTACAAATAGACGGTGGATATTGACCACCTGTGGTGGTTCAACTTAACACCTGGGATCCACAGTTCTAGGCTTGCAATAGCAATGTTAACAAAATAACATTGAGTGCTTAGTATGTGCTAGGCGTGGAGACTCTACAGATTTCATCTTCACAATAGTCCCGTGAATTAGATACTATTATTACTTCTATTTTATAGATAAGACAACACTGACACAAAAAGGTTAAGCAACTTGCCCAAAGTCACACAGCTGCTAAGTGCGTGAGAAAGGACTTAGCAGCAGTCGGGCCAGGTTACGGAGCCCAGTTACCGCTACAGGATACGAGCTCTGGAATGCTGCAGGTGAAAATAATTGAACAAGTATAAAATAAATGAACTCATTACTTCAGCACCTGGTCTATCAAGGAACTCATCTATTTGGCAACCTTATATATTTCAAATATAATTGCAAACCGGGAATAAAAAAAAAAAAAGCAGCTCTGAGCAGCTAAAAAGTACACACCAGATCAAGGCCCCAAGGCACAGATACAGTGTTCTTGGGGGGCACAGCTGGCCCTCACCCACCTGCATTTACTGTAACTGCACATGTGTCAGAGTTGTGACCGCATCACACAACATATCTGTTGTTACTACACACATAAATGGTCGCCAAATCTAAGGCAATTCAGATCTGCAGTCATCGATATCTATATTCACAGAAGGGAGTGAGTACACGGGAAGAGATAGGAAAATGCTAAAAGGAAAAAAAAACCCTCCCATTTTTTCAGTTTATATAATAAGGTCATTTAGGACAAGGGCCCAAATCCTTATCAACTCTGATAAACCTCAGAACCACCCCAGCCTGGGAACAGAGCTCATTAAGAAATGTTCATGCTGGTGATACTAAGTGATGAAGAAAATCTCAAATGACATTTGATGATTAAAGAAGAACACTATATAAAATACCACTTGAAAAGATTTCTGTTGAGATTACTTTTGAAATGGACATATCATACTTCAGGGAACTAGAACCAACACTCATCTATCCATAGCAGCGTTCCCCAAGGGGTCCGTGTGATTGAGGCGGACCAACTGCCTTTTTCACCCTAGTAAGATAGCAGGACCTCCTGAGCAGCAAGGCCTTGTGCAGGCAGAGCCTGCGGAGCCTTCCCGCAGCGTCGGGCAGCCGGCGACGGGAAGCCTCCATGAGAGTGAGTCCAGCTTACAAGACCCAGTCGGAGTCAGAGCCGAAGGGAGGTGGTGTTTCTGTCCACAGAACTGCAAAATAGCCTGCTTGCTTTCTTGCTCTTCCTTCCTTTCTCTCTCTCTTCCTCCCCCCCCTTTTTTTTAAGATTTTATTTATTTATTTGACAGAGAGAGACACCGCGAGAGAAGGAACACAAGTAGGGGGAGTGGGAGAGGGAGAGGCAGGCTTCCCGCTGAGCAGGGAGCCAGATGCGGGGCTGCCGAAGGCAGATGCCTAAGGACTGAGCCACCCAGACCCCATCTTTCTTTCTTTCTTTCTTTTCTTTCTTTCTTTCTTTCTTTCTTTCTTTCTTTCTTTCTTTCTTTCTTTCTTTCTTTCTTTTTCTTTCTTCCTTCCTTCCTTCTTTCCTTTCTTTCTTTTTCTTTTTCTTTTTCTTTCTTCTTTCTTTCTTTCTTTCTTTCTTTCTTTCTTTTTCTTCTTTCTCTTTCTTTCTTTCTTTCTTTCTCTCTCCCTCTCTCTTTCTCTCTCTCTCTCCCTTCCTTCCTTCCTTTCTTCTTTCTTTCTTTCTTTCTTTCTTCTTTCTTTCTTTCTTCTTTCCACATTAGGTGTTTAAAAATGAGTATGATTCACATATCAGCATGCAAAGATTCATAAATTACATTTTGGTAAAGGGCTCAGAGTCCAGATCTGTCTTACCAACACCTGATGAAGTTTTAATTAAAATGCTTACTGTTCTAATAATGGACTAGAGATCCCTGCCTGAGAAGCAAAAAATATATAAGCAACTTTTCCTTCATTAATTTAAACATAGCCCTCCTACTGTAGAACCAAGGATTTAAGAGTTTATTTACTGCTGCTTAGGAAGCAAAACAATGTGAAAAACATCCCCTTAGCATTCTGCTTTATTTCACATACTTACTCTGAACCCTCAGGTTTCGGAAAATGAGGACTTCTTTACAAATAACATCAACTGCATCAAAATGTCAGTCAAAATCTGTTTCTTCTGCCGTTTTTTTCCATCATAATTATCCAACTTGAAAAAAAAAAAAACCACACCAGTTAAATGATGTCACCCTGGGAGCCTATGTGGTAAAACAAGGATTAGAAGGGAACTTCTTGTTTATGTATTTGTTTTTAGATGACCACCAGAAAACATTGTCATTGGGCCAAATATTAAGGCTAGAATAATACAGAGAAGGCCTTTCTTCTCTAGAGAAGAGAAATATGTCAAAAGCACCAAGGACCTGCTATAGATCTTACCATATATCCATCTCTATACCACGCACAGGGAACACACTATGGAGGAAAACAACAACAACGAAAGCATAGGTTCTGAAGGACTCAGAGTCTAATGGGGAGACAGACACATGAAGCTGCCTAACAAACAACACAGGAAATGATAGGAGGATCCTAGTGCTGGCGGGCAAGCAGGCAGGTGCAAGGAGGAGGAGCAAGCTGCTCTCTGGGCCGGGAGAGAGGGGGGAGGGAAAGAAGGGCGCAGTGGGAGGGGAGGGTGGTATAGAAGTTAAGATTTCCAATTCTGGAATCAGCCAACAGACCTGGCTTGCAAACCTAGACTACTACTTAAGAGTTAGTGAACCTTGGGAAAATTGTTTATCTTCTCTGTGCCATTTATGTTAAATGGGAATAACAGCAGAACCTTCCTCCTTGGGTTGCCTTGAGGATTAAATGAGGTCATACATGGAAAATGTGAGCTCGGTGTCAGCATACGATTGTCCTTAATACATGTTAGTCAAAAACAAAGAGAAAAGGAGGGCTATTCCTGTAGAGGAAGACATGAGTTTGGTTGAGGGACGCCTAGGTGGACAAGAGTGCAGACATTTCTGACAGAAGAAACATGAGGTAGAAAAGTACCTGGGGCGGGATTATTCAGAAGAAAGCAAAGGTACATAGCGATGGGAGCCTTCTGCACACGGGGGGGGGCGGGGGGGGGCAGAGAATACCAGGGGGACGATTGGCGCTATGAGTGAGTGACAGTACAAGTCAGGCGCGTTGCCGCCCCCCACTCACAATTAAATATTGAGTAAAAGAGAATAACTTATGTGTTTGATTATGTGCCCGAGTGTTGCACAGTCTGGGCATTAAATAGATGCTTCTATGAAATATGAATTGACTTTATTTAAATAAGGCAGCTGTAAATCTTAACTTGCCACTCAGCCCGCCTCTTATCTGACCTATCACCAGCACTGGACATGAATGAGCCTCCCTTTTCCACTTTCTTCACTTGGGTTCCAGGATACTGTATGTTCTTGGTTTTCTTCTTACTGCACCGATAGTAGCTGTGTCAGATACCCTGTGTATTCAACAAGCTGGGGGCAAAGCTTTACTGGCAGCTGTCCCTTTAAGAAGAACCCACCGTTTAGAGATGATGGACTCTGAAAAACAGACTGAGGGTTCTAGAGGGGAGGGGGGTGGGGGGATGGGTTAGCCTGGTGATGGGTGTTGAGGGGGGCATGTTCTGCGTGGAGCACTGGGTGTTATGCACAAACAATGAATCATGGAACACTACATCAAATACTAATGATGTAATGTATGGTGATTAACATAACAATAAAAAATTATTTAAAAAAAAAAAGAAGAACCCACCATACAAATCACCATGGAATTCAGAGACTTCCTCCTCCTCCCTGCAGAGCTCTCTAACCAACTGCCCCCACACAGCTTTCTCTTTCTCATCCTGGTGGCTGCTCTCTGACCCCTGCGACCACCCAGTAATCCTCTGGCTCTCTTGTCTTTTGTCCCATGTGTTCTGGACCACCATGTCTCCTCTTTCCATTTGCCTGCAGTCTCCCCTGATGCCAAACCAAACCATGTAAAATCGAATTTAATAAAAGCAAAAGGATTCGAGTTTGAAAATGCCCCATGGAGGGCAGAGGCAGAACCATTGCCCACAGGGTAAGCTTCTCCCGCGTAACCTTTGTGCCTGGGAAGCTAACAGCGGGCTGTGGCCATAACCTAATACCTGCTGCAACTCTGCCTGGTCTTTCTCTCCCTTGGTGAAGTCGCTTCCCGGGATATCAGAAGATTTCTAAATTGCTGTTTTTTATGCCCCCCGGTCTATGGTATTCTGTAACAGCGGCCAACTTCCATTCGCCACGCATCTCCCCAACCTCTGCTTCTGCCTCTCTCCTCTCTCTGACTTTGACCCTCTTGCTGCCTCTTATAAGGATTCGTGTAATTACATTGGGGCCACTAGGATAAGCTCCCCATCTCAAGATCCTTAGCTCAATTGCATCCTCAAAGTCCTCTTTTGCTATATAAGGTAACATATTCACAAGCTCTGGGGATTGGGACCTGGACATCCTTGGTGGTGGGGTGATTATTCTATCTACCACAGTGTCTTCGTGGTGAAACACTCAAGTTTAATACTTTAAAGTCAGACCATGCTATCTGATAGAAAGTATGAGGAAGCTTCAGCTTTCCATAGCTAACCTTTAATTGAACAGCAACTATTTGCCAAACTCCATGACTTGTTGGGAATGTAAAACAATAGTGACAACAAAACAATAATAATAATAAAACCACAGCTACCCATACGTGAAGTACTTTTATGTGCCAAGCAGTTGAGATAAATTATCTCTAAATTTCACAAAAATCTTGAAAGCTTTTATCTTGATTTTATAGTTGCCGAAACCAAGGCTCAAAAATGGGTGAAACAGCAAAAACTGGAATTTGAACATGGGTCTTTTCACTCAAAAATGTATATATTTTTTAATATTTTATTTATTTATTTGAGAGACATAAAGAGAGAGACTGAGCACAAGCAGCAGGAGTGGCAGACGCGGACTCCGCACTGAGCAGGGAGCCCGATGATGCCGGGCTCGACCCCAGGACCCTGAGATCATGACCTGAGCTGAAGGCAGACACTTAACCAACTGAGCCACCCAGACATCCCAAAAATGTCTATATTTTGAACTTAAATACACAGGCCCACTTTTCCCCTAGAATAGCTAAGGGCTTTTCCTATGTTGGTGGCAGTAAAGAACTACTTCTAGGCACTCAGCAGCTCACTGTTTATGGAGAGTTGGGTTCAATAGATCTGACTCCTGCCCTCAAAGGAGTTTTAGTCTAGTCTAATCTGGATGTGAATTTTATTATATCAATGTATATCTTATTCCCTTTCTTTAATTTACTAGAGGATTAAAATACAAATATTTCTTTTCACTTTTGGGGAATATTTAAATATTTAATATTTTATTAATTTATTTTAATTTTATCATTTATTATATTATTTATTATTTCTTTGTAGATTTATTATTAATAAATTTATTAATTTAAATATTTAAATATTAAAATCTGTCCTAAAGGAAAGGAGAATAAGGTTTTTAATTGCTAATAAGCTAGGCTCTGAGATAAGAAGGAATTTCCTTTCGAACTAACAAGAGCTGTCCCTGGACAGAGGAGATGGGGATAGTTCAACAAGATATGCCTGTGCTAAAACATTAGAATCCCATTGAGATGGGATTTCCTTCTGACCCAGTGGATAAAGACTCTATCAGGAAATTAGCTTGATTTGTAGATAGTAAAGAAATGCATTATTTCTTGAGTCTAGAATTTATAGCTGATATACTTAAAGAAAATTAACTGATATTTATCAAGGGTCTGGTATGTGCTCAAAACAGTCCGAGGCGTACGGGCACATAATTAAGCACATAATTTAGTATCTTGATGTTTGAAATTCTAGATGGAAGTGGGGAGTGGTGATGCACACCAAACTATGATTTCACTTCTATTGGAATTTTACTTCTTGCTTATGTTAAAAAAAACTGTGCCTGAGGTCTGAAGCAAAAAAAAAACAACAACTGAGAAATAAATTATTTTCCAATCAAGCAAATTCATTGAAATGTTATTTGTTCCTTGTTGGCTAATGTGTGTCGTTGAAAGAGATTGTAGCTTCTGGAGAAGAGTCAAATGCATCAAAAGAGGACTGTCTGTTAAAATGGGGATTTGGATATTATTAGCTATTATAAGTTGAATGATGCCTCTTCAAATTTCATATGTTCAAGTCCTAAATCCCGCTACCTCATAATGTGACCTTATTTGAAGATGGAGTTTCTATAGAGGTAATCAAGTTATAATGTGGTGATCAGGGTGGGTCCTTACCCAATATGACTGGTATCTGTATAAGGGGAAATTTGGAGGTAGACGCACAGGCACAGCGAGAACCCTATGTGGATATCAAGGCAGAGATCCCAGTGATGTGCCAATGAATGCCAAAGATTTCCAACAAACCACTGGAAGAGAAGTGAGGCATGGGACAGAGTCTTCTTCTCAGCCCTCAAAAAGAAGCAGCCTGGCTGACACCTTGACACACTTCCAGCCTCCAGAACTGTGAGAAAATAAATTTCTGTTGTTTAAGCCATTAACTTTGTGGTACTTTGCTATAGCTGCCCTCAGAAATGAATACAATAATTGAACCCTTTAGAGAAGAAGTATTTAACAAAGAAAGTATTTAACAAAGAAAGATTTAACAAAATCTTGATAAGTCTCCATAACGCTGCTCTGAATCATTCTAATCGAGTATCTAGAAACTCTCCTCCTTTTCTGTCAAATTTTATTATTACCATCTCACTCTATGGCAAAACTCTAGACATTGAATTCTTCAGATGTAAGTCATTGGTGATATACAAAGCTACTGATTGTTCTCTGTGTAATACCAAAATCACTTTATAATGTTGTAATGGTTTTAGTGACATAAGCCTTGGGGCCGAGGCAAACTATAGCAACTGCAAAACATTAACGCGTGTAAATAGATTGTATCTCTAAGAGGGCTAACAGCAAGACAAATGTTAATTGGGCTGTTAAAATTCAGAGAAACTAAAATTTTATACTTAATCTGTAGGTTAATACAGTGATGTCACTATTTTTTTTTTTTTTTACAAAGCAACTTATTGTTCCATCAAGTAGCCAAAGGTGTTAATGACCTTAGAAAGGAAAATATGGATTAGAGTGACTTATTTTTTTGGTGTGTGAGGATTATGTTCATCCAAGAATAAAAATTAATGGCACATAACAAGATTTTCTAAATATTGCTTATAGAAACTGCTTGAGCCATTCTACTTAAATTCTGAAGATAATTTGACTTATTGGATAGAATCCGAGATATATGGTATGGAGGACAAAAGAGCTTCTAAAATGCAGAAGTTATACTTAAAATAAATTGACTTCTCATTTCTGATTTATATAATGTAATCAGACTGAAGATAGGGTATGGGGAAAATATAAAGAGGAATAAGACGCTCCCTAGTTTCTTTCTTTTTTTTTTTAAGATGCTCCCTAGTTTCAAGAAACTTATGGTTTATTGGAAGAGATGAACAATTGTAACCAAAGAACTGTAAATCAGAGAAATCAGTACTATGGTGGGCCTGGGAATAGATGTATGAGAGTCTCCCGAACCATAGTCTGCTCTTTCAGTGGTCTTTCTCTTAGCTTGGAGGATACTATGTGAATGATAACAGTCTCTGTACAACAGTTCCTATCTTTGGTCTGGGAAAGTTTCAGAAAGATCTATCATTTTCATAATGTGTGTCAAAGATTGAATGATGCATCTCTTGCTAATTCTGCTCTTGCAATGCTTTCTCTTAATATCACTGATTCTTCTTAGAAGACCAGAAGAACATGGATTATATCAAGATATGCAAGTTGGACTTTGGTTCAAACTTGGCAGCAGTTCTGGATTTCTTCTAGAAAGGGCTATACTGGTTAAGGAGGCTCATCACTGAAATATTGGGATAAGAACTCTAATCTCTGTATGAACTTAGAGGTTAACCATTATCATACATGATTTGATGTATCTATCTTATGATACTGAAGATTCATTTTACTTTGCCATTTTGGCTTTGATACATATGTGAAGCCAAACCCTCTGCTCCCATTTCTACTGTTGTCCCTTCGTCTAGTTGCTCATGCCACAGAACTGGAAGTCATTCTAGTTTCTCCTTTCCTTTGGGGAGTTGCCTGTTGTAAGACAGTTCTCCATGGGTTTCTTGCATTTCTGCAAGTCAAGCAAGGCACTGAGTGCCCACTGTTCTGTATGAGCTTAACAAGGATGTTTGTAGAGTGAAGAGCCTTGAAAGATAGAAGCAGTGTCTCTCTTTGGAGCAAAGTGCAAATATGCTTATAGTCGTGGAAGGTACAGATACTGTCTCCCTCCAGAGGAAAGGGCAGGCATGCTTAATGCTCATGATAAAAGTTTTGGGTTCCCTAAACTCAAAGTTCTTGCCTCATAATGCATTCTACTGTGTGTGCAGATGTCATCTGGCCCTTCTTTGTGTTGCCCTTATAGACATGGAGGCTCAGGGAACTGGCACAAAAATTCAAATACTCTGGCTACTGCTATTGTTACAAGTAATGGACTCTCCTTTGTCTCTGACCCTGGATTCTTGTATCTGTTATCAGCATCCATGAAACTATGGCAGCTTAAAATGTTATCTTGCAAACAGGGTAAAATTTCCCACCTTTTACAATTCTTGACATTTCCCTCACTCACGTACCTACCCTTTCCCTGAACTGGGCACTGAACTTTATAGAGTATTTCCTTTTCAGAGCTTTAGAGTTCTTTTCCTCTGAAACCCAATTTCTGTAGCTAGTTAATAACCTCCTTAAGACTAGTCTTGCCCTTCTCTTTTTCTTAATCAGTCCTCAGTGTTACTGTCAGAATGATCTTTCTAAAATAATAACTGTAGATAATTCTCCTGATAAAATCTTGCATTGTCTTTCCCGGGAAGGTAATGATGTCAAGATAATTGCAAGTTGGGTAGAATGGCATCAAAGTTTTCATGAACCACGCTCCTACCTAATTCTTCCACTTAACTTCTCCCATGTCCCCGAAGTGCATATTATATTCCAATCTTAGCAAACTATGGATTCTTCAAATTCCTAATATTCTTCCCTAGTCATGCCTTTGTACAGGCTAGAACAAACTGCTGCACTCCCTATGCCATCCTGGCCTGTTAAATCTTGTCCATCAGTTAAGAGTCAACTAAAGTTCTCTTCTACAAAGCAATTTTTCCTGACATCTCACTTCGCAATATGACATCGATATAAAACACCTTAAACACATCTCCAAAATTATATTTATGGCATTATATCATAATTGTTGGCTTATTCATCTTTAAAATTATATTTAATTATATTTAACATTTGCTCATTATCTGCTAAAGAAGAAAGGTCTATTTTGTATCCCCCTGGGTATCACACACTTTCCAGAAAGTTTCAGGTGTCCATTAATCCTTTCTTAGGTACATAACTGAGTATACAGTTGATGAGTGAAGCAGAATGTAGATTTGTTCTGGAAAGAGACACATACCCAAGTTCTTAATATGGGGGTTATTGATGTAGCTGTCTTTGGTATATGCAGAATGTAGGTCAACCTTTCATTCCCAGTTGTTTATGATAATTACTGAAACATTATCTATGCAAGAATTATAAATATCATCAATGAATTGGTCATTCAGTAATTTCTTGGCCTCTGTTGACACAGCTGGCCTTGGTCTATGTTATTAACTTTATGCCAGTCAGTTTGAAAAAACTCATATTAGTGATTGCAACAACTCTGCATGAATGAATCCAAGTTTAATAGTGAAAACAGGATCTCCCTGAGTTGCACTGTGGGAAATCTGAGGACTGCATCTGGGAAATGTATGGTAACAACACCCAAATTCTGCTCCTGTTTTTCCTCAGAGGAATGCCACCCATCAGAAAGAAGGAGCACTCTGTGACTACTTCCTTTGGGATTTAAACACATCCCTTTGCTTCCTCCTCCAAACTGACCCTACATTCCCGACAAAGACAAATCAAAGGAAGAAGGAGGAGATCTCTTTTGGAGCGAAACTGCCAAGTAAGGAAAATCAAGAACAAGCAACCAGAGAAAGTTATGACCAGAGCAGCCCATTCCCTTCCTTTAACTCTCTTTCCTGTGTATATTTTCATAGCCTCTCAGTTTCAGTTCACTGGCAGCCCCAGGAACGAATGCCAAGTAGGAAGATGTGACTGAGGGAAGAACTCTGAAAAGTGAAATGCCCTGGGCTCACTGTTTTAACCTAGGAGGAAACTTCACTCACTTCCAAAGGCCGGATCACCTCAGATAGCCACCCACAGGCACGCATTGCCTGGTCCCCTCCAAGGCTGGGCACCGGGAAGAACCTGTGATTAGCTGGTGTCACCTCATCAAAGTGCAAAGGAAAGAGGCTGGCCATAGTCACTCAGAGGAAGGAGATCCAACCAAGATTCCTACCTGAGACAAAAACCCTGTTCTCTGGAACAGGGGTGGATATGGGGACAGATACTTCCTCTATGAGACAGCTTTGAAGTCATCCCTTAGTAAACATGCCTCCTCTCCAAGCTGTGCACACACACCGGGCTACCACCCGCGATTCCACCTCTACCACCCAGAAGGAACCCCGGGGGGGAATGACTTTCCTCACCCTGCGGATGAAGAAGAGGGCAGTGGGGATGCCCATGACCTCCTGGTGTTGGGCACTGGGGACTGTGGTGCTGGTTTCCTGCTGCCACTGGGAGCTAGTATTAGAAGGGTCCTCACTGAGTTTGAACAGGCATATTTCTAAAGCTTTTTTTTTTTTTCTAAGTGTAATATTTATGACAGGAAATCAGGTTAGACATTCCTGAAACTAGCAAGAGCTTATGAACACACTGTCCTATCCTCCCTGGACATGTAAATGCAGTTAATCTTTTCAAGGAAGACCTAAATACCTCACTCCTTTACATTTAACCTGAGCCATCGGCGAAATGCAAACATTGATTTGGAGCCAAGCCTCTGGTAAAGGATTACCATATGTGGGCCACAAGGAAATTCCTCCCTGCCGCCAGAATTTATACGGCAGGGAGCTATGAATAGAAAGTTTGTGCATGGTTATGAATATGGATAAAATACATCACTCATGGCCAGGGAATGGCAAGCAAGATTGAAAACACATATTTTGGAGCACATAATATTTTCAAAAATATATTTAAAAGAAAATAAACACAGATCGTGTGTGTTCATTTACTGCTTAAAGTACCTTTGGGGAAAAGAGACATCAACAAGTTTTCTTTCCAAACCATTTGCTTTTCCTTGTGCTTCTTAACACAGAGCTGGACCCTCTGGGAAGGAATGGGGTCTTGGAAAGTGCATGGTAAGTAGTGTTACTGGTAGACATGATATCCCCTTCCTGTGGAAGACAGGGAGTTGAGTCTTTGAGGATGTCCAGAAGGGACTATGTGGCTTGGGGAGATGTGTTCAGGTCATTCCTGTTAGTATAGTTTACTCTTCCTTCAGTCTTGGAAGGATTTTGCTGGCTTCTGCAATTTATGCTTTCATCTTTTTCCTTGCTAGATTATTCACGGACATCAAGACGGCATCTATGTTGTTAAGTTTCCAGATGAAAACTGAAAACTTGCCATTTCATGTCAAACATAGAGCTCTGGCCTCTAGCAAAATTAAGAAAGAGGAAAACGTGGTTTTTATATTGACCCCACTTTCACAGCCACTCCATTAGAGCAAGTCCCTCCTCCTCCTACAGGGGACCCAGTTTCCTGCTGCTATCTGTACATGCCCAAACAATCTCACATTTGCATACCACCTGAACATGGCCTCTTGGATTGGATAGCATATTTAATTTTCCCCTTCTCTCTTTTATTCTGTTTCCCTCCAACTAAATTTACCTGCTCTCTTTTTCCATCACCTCGAGATCCCGAGATCCACTGTGGGATAGTTAACTAATCTGATAATTCAGTATGTTATTCCGTAGTCAATTCCAGGGACATATTTTCATTTGTTGTGGATCCTCACATTTTTCATTTTCTCTCCTATTCACTTCCTCATCTTCAGACACTCCCTCACGCGGAGCATTGAGCTGGAGCAACATGGACCACAGGACACTGCTATCACTGACTGACTGGATCTTACACTGACGTGTGACCCAAGGACAGTAATCTATTATCTGACTGGGATCCTATGACATCACCTGGTACCAAAGACTCTGCCCAAACAGAGATGTATTGTGTCAATTTTATTATTTCTCAGAAAAAAAAATAAGAAGCCCACCAATTGTTATCGTCTGATTTTGCAAGGTCATCATGCGGGACACAGATTAATGGCTGTGGTTAGGAAGGGTTAGGGTTTCCAATCCTCACATTCAGTTCACATGAGACCCAGCTATATACTTTGTCTGCCGTTTTTTATTTTTGTGATCCTTTGTCTGCATGCTGGAGCTTTCTTTGCAACCCAGATGACGCTGGTGAGAACATTAAGGAACTCGTGGAGAGACGCCTTCATCCTAGGAAGGAGTCTACTTGTTTCATGTTAACCTCTGGCTCTGCTGCCACAGAAAGTATCCAAGGATTACCTAGCCATTCCTAGAATAATCGAGTAAGGGAAAAATATCTTGGCAATTCCCCGAGTTAAATGAAAGTCTGTTCCTTTTTTGGTGAAAATTTGAAGACGTCAGTTTTACGACCCATGAAACAAGACAGACCATCTACATATCACTCCCTATTCCTTCTATAATTGTAACCCCATATTCCATAATACCAACTGCTGATTAGAAATTAACTTTGCATAACTATTAGATGTTCCGTTGTTGACTTGTGCCAATTTCATCTGCATCAGATAGCTTCCAGAGTGCAGAGATAGCATCTTTTAACTTACTTTGCATAGTATTTGACCTAGTGATTATTCCTTTGAGTGTTGAGTAAAAATTATTTTAAGGTGGTCACTCCACTTAATGTGGATGTATGTGATGATGATGTTGATAAACTTTAAGCTAAAGATATGTCACCTGCAGTTATAGGATATCACTAACTGATACTCTATGACGTTTATTTTCTGTCTCCTCTTCTAGAAAGTAAGATTCATGCAGACAGACTTGTTTGTTACTGCTACATCCCAAATGCCTAGAACAGTGTTTTTTTCTTTTTTAATTTTTTACCAGCTTTATTGACATATAATTGATATACAAAGAACTATAAATATTTAATGTCGACAATTTGATGAGTTTGGAGATGTGCAAACCCCCATGATGCCATCATCGCAATCAAGATAATAGACATAGCCAATACCTCCTGAAGTTTCCTTGCATTCTTTTGTTTTTGTGTGTTTTTTGTTTTGTTTTGTTTTTGTGGTAAGAACACTTGATATGAGATCTACTCTGTAAACAAATTTTGCTGTGCACAATCCCTTACTATTGACTACAGGCACTATGTTGTACAGTAGATCTCTAGAACGTATTCATCTAGCATAACTGAAACTTTATACCCATTGAACACCTCTCCATTTCCCCCACCCCCAGCCTTGATGTCTTTAATGTAGACACTTAATAAATATTTGTTGAATGAATGAATACTTAAAGATTAAAAAAACCTTGAAGAGGAAGCAATTTCCTCCTCCATACCAAATTTTAGTGTTCATTCTTCTGCAGACAAAGTGCTTTTCTCTATGCTGTGCCAGACCTACTTTTTCTTGACTGCTGTTACCCCAGACTTTAATGAATGGTTGACCTACTTGGTGCGATTTTATTTTTTTTGATAATGTGGTATTTTTGGAAGGTACATACCTGATAATATTTCTTATCCCTGACACTGATGTGGTGACTAAAAAAATATACCCCAAATATATGCTCTTGTTGCTAAGTAATTTGCCAATGTTTGAATAGGCAGCAAAGGAGGATGTTTTCATAGTATTTAGAAATAGAGACAGCAAAATAAACGGTCCATTTTCCTCTCTCAGATCTGCCTTGTTCTTTTATAAATAAATATTGTACACACACACACACACACACATACACACACATACACCTACAGGGTATATAAATAGATAATTAGAAATAAGCTGTGGTATATATCTCAATTTAAGAAGGTTAACATTTCCACAAAACTCTTAGGAAAATTAATTGCAGGAGAAATATGTTCCAAATTGCTTCAAGGTTACTTGGAAAGTTATCTCTATATGAAAAATGGCTTAAATACTGAATTCAGGTCAATTTTCTACAAATTTTGTTTTTACAGGAGAGAAAAACCAGTCAAGTAGTGATTTGTAAGATTTTCATTCTGTTTTACTGTTGTTTTTACCTCAGGGAACATTTCTTGAGAACCACGCATATTTCCAAAACTTAGTAGATTTCATTTATTTTGCAACAATCCCAGAAAAGAAGTAATGAGTGGATACATTTAGGATTGCTTATGGACCATCATCATCTTCCCGAGTGTTTGGAAGAGCATTTGGAAGTAGGAGAGGCAGCATTATTTGTGGCTGGGAAAAGAAGAGTCATAAGTGAAAATTATTTAAATTATTTTATTTGCTTGTACAACTGACAGACATTTTGTGTCTCTCACAATATAAATATAAAAATCCTGCAGCATAGATTTTATCATCTTTGCACCTATATATATCTGTCGTCATTTTATAACCAACTCACTGGTCCCTTTTGGCATCAAAGGCATTGATACTTTATCAACTGCGACAAATTCTTATTAAACTCTATGTTTACTCCGTGTAGGTAAAAACTAACATTTTCTCAAAATTAAAGGAAGCCAAAATATCCAGTTTGAAATGTACATCATACCAAAAAATACAACGTACATGACCCTGTCATTGAATTGCTCTCATTCCATGAACTGAGATTTTTGGCATATGGAAGAATGGCTGCCTAACAGATTAGCCATGATCACTTATGCCTTTTTATTAAAAAGTTTATGGGTTATTTTTCATGTTGTTTTTCTTTTATTCTCTGAACTTCCTTTTCAGTTAAATACTGTCCTATATTTGCAAATGGATCAGATAATCAAATTATCGCTAAGAAAGTATAAGTACAAAGTTGTAAAGGAATTCACCCTTTCATAAATTTTCAAGACAATAGTAAAATAATCTGTTTTATAATTTAAATACAACAAAACCAAAGTTCCTGCATAATCACTAGACTATAAATTCATAGTGGTCGGAACAATGGGTATCTTGTTGACCATGGGCTACCAGGGACCCAGCATGCTGCCTGGCTGGTAAGAATTGCACAACAAATACTTGTTGACGGACTAGCACATAAGGAATAAGTCCTGACAGAAAAGTCAGTTCAGGGATGTATCTTTCGCTAAGGGGAATGTCAAGCACAAGCCATGCTAACTAGACGTGCCCTTCAAGGAAATGACCAAAAACACATACGTAATTCAGAGAAGTAAACACCTCCAAAAATTTTAGTAGAGCTTTCTATGTCCAACACCATGTGAAGAATTTTACAAATTAGAAATCAGTGGTTTGAATAAACCCAGAGCCTGAATAGCTATTTCCAGCTTTTTAAATGTGCAAAACACATTTTTCCTCTTCAGCTTCCAGGAACGACTTGAAGAGTCAGCATCATTTCAGGAATTGTTTTCATGGCCTTACTCTCAAGGAATAGACAAAGGAAAGCCAAGAAGGATAACAACAACAGCAACAAAATCCAAATACACAAGTGGACAGTTCAGATACACAAGACCAAGGATTAATATAGACCAGTCCAAATGGAACAGTTTTTGGGTCACCAACCTCTAATCATACCTGGTATGGGCCTACTTTTTTTTTTTTTCAATTGAAACA